GTAGGTAATTTATTTATCATTGCATTGAATACAAATCTTGGTACTAGATTACTCGTGCTTAATGGTATGTTGTTCTTCAGTAATAAAACGGACAATCAAAAATCAGGAAATATCCACTTATTCTCAAAAGGAAGTATGAACTCTGAAGTACTATTGTTGCTATTTTATTTTTAAAAAATCAAATCGAGAGTACTAAGTACTGAGTAACATACATAAACTGATAATTGCTACATTGGGAAATATTTGTTGTAAATAGCGTCAAAGGTGAGTGCTTAATTTAACATTAGATTTTGTATTTTTCAAGTACTGACTGGTACTTAAACTATAGTTTGAAAAAGTTAAATTCATTGAATACTCTAACTTTATTCTTTTGGCTAGCAAACAAATTCTAGATGTCAAAAGGAAATGGCCACACCAATAACCTGGGCACAAGAAGTAATCATTTGTGATATATGTCACGAAGACGCAACATATCAATTTTGTCATAGCTGTCAGGTCAAACTCTGTGGAAACTGCATAAATGAACATGTCAATGCAGAAAAACTACTCCCGCATGATATTGTTCCCTTTACGAAAAGAAACGAGAAAGTGGTTAGCCGGCTGTGTGAAATACATCCAGGCCAGAAATGTGAGGCTTGCTGCCATCAATGCGATGTCCTAATTTGTATGAAATGTGTCATTGCGTCTCACCAAAGCCACCAGATCGAGGAAATTCCTTCCGCTTATCTTGACAACATGAAGAAAATTAACCTAGATACTGATGAACTTCAGAAGATTTTAGATTTAGATAAGGAGCAAAGTGATGCCCGTGAATCAAATATTAAGGATAGAATTGCGAAAACATCTGCAAACTTTGAAGAGCTTGAAAGAGAATTGGAACACCCCAGAAGTTTATGGCATCAGGAAGTCTACGAAATCTTTGACAAACACAAAACTTTAATTAAATCCCTGAAGGAAAAAGCGGTAATTTCTCTGGTCGAACAAAACCTTCACCCAAATAGAGTCACCCAGAAAATGCTGCAAACAATAAAAGAAAACAAAGACATTCTTAGATCCAAAACAGTCTCCAAAGTTGTCAACTACATATCAAAACCTCATGGATACCAAGATATTCCTGTAGATATTGATGTGGCCATTCCTTCCTTGAAAATAACCACAGATCAAGGTAAAGAACTCAGTATAGAACTGGGAGAACACAAAGCTACATTAACACAGACAACACCCTTCAGTCCGAACAGTGACACTTCAATATCGTCATTTGGCAAGTTCTGCGTTATTGCTGATATTCAAACTCCACTGAGTTGTATTGACGCTATATCCTGTGTTGGATCTGATGAAGCCTGGATTGCTGGAACAAGCAATGTTATTCTACGTTTTGACAAATTGAGTGGCTCTGTTAAGGAATCTATCAAAATTACAGGGGAGCCAGCAGACATGTCGGTAACTCAACAAGGAGAACTGATATTTACTGATTTTGCCAATAAAAGTGTTACCATTGTCAAACATGGTATGACAGAAACCCTGATAAAAGCACCTCTAGGTTGGAGAGCATACGGACTATGCTGCACTAATAACGGTGATATCCTTGTCAGCATGAACACTGAGGATGAAAGGCAACACAAAATAGTTCGGTTTCAGGGAAAGGTAGTAAAACAAGAAATAGAAAAAGATTTGGATGGCAACCACATTTTCCAAAGAGGAGGCTACATACTTTATTTGGCCGAAAACACAAACGGGGACATTTGCGCCTCTGATGGAAATGCAAAGAAAGTTGTTGTGGTGGATGCAACAGGGATTGTCAGATTTCGTTATAATGGTTATGGAGCCAGAGGGAAGAAATATTTCTCTCCAGAACAAATCGCTACCGATTCCATGAGTCAGATCATCGTGACGGATCAGAAGAATGATTGTTTACACATTCTTGATCAAAACGGACATTTCCTACAATGTGTGGATTACTGTGGATTAGACGCACCGGGAGGTTTGAGTGTAGACAGTAAGGGAAGATATTGGGTTGGTTTGCATTCTGGAAAATTAAAAATGATTTCATTATTGAAGATGTAAAACTGCGGGAAAGATGGTTTATTCATGAGCTTATGAAATATTTATAATGATCGAACAGTACTGTAAAATTGTATTTTTATATAGGTCGTTTGTTTTCGTTGTTTTCAAGAAATTGTGAAATTCATGTCCTTCATTTTGTGTACAATATAGCTCAGCAGTTCTTTAATCATGAAACCAAATCCCAACAAATTCTGTTTCTCCTAAAATCTCGATTATTTTGTTCCTGCGAAAATAAATGATTGCGATGTTTCTGTCACAGAGCAATCGCCCGATTTTAGTTAATTAATTGTAAATGAGTGAGTGATAGGTTGCAGGTGCGCAGCGCAGGCGTTGTAGCCCTGTTTCCCAAGAGTGTAATTTTAGTTAGTTAGAGAGAAAGCGAGTGGACAAGCATGGATTTATAATTTGTTTATTTGTCATTTCTGTTATCGTTGTTTATTGTGCGTGATAGAGTTCTGAGAGATGAAAGTGAGCACTAGATTGATTTGTGTGAGACAGTGGGCCCTGGGAACATGAGTGAGAGAGAGAGGAGAACAAGTCTGAAAGTCAACGAGTGTGGACGTGTATTTTGTATTGTGAACATTGTGATTTCTTATAAATATATCTTGTGTTGTAAATATGTAAATAAACGATGTAAATAAAAACAATCTTCATTAATTACCAGTGCCAGTGACAGGGAGGACCCCCGTCACATTTCTATAAAAAATTGTGAATTCAATTGATTATTGGCCAATAGGGACATATTAAGAATTCAATGGATTCAATTTGTTGTACTCAGATATATAATTCAAATACTAATACTGGTTGAGTGTGATCCACCAGGATGATAATGTTCACACAAACAGAAATTAAACTATGGACCATAATTGTGACGATGGAATGCTAATTAATGCAGTTCTGCATTATTGGCATGGCAAAAAAGAAAGATTATGCAGTTATTCGTCGTGAAATTATGATAAAGTTTAGAACTGAATTCTTCCGTTTGACTTGGATGAGATTGGATCACCACTATTTGATTTCTTAATTTGGATTCGAGTGATCGATGCCTTCAGACTGAGAAATATTAAAAAAAGAACAGAAAAAAATTAGGTTTTTAATCTTTGATTTGCTACGTTTTTCAAGCAATTCAGCACCTAGCTATAATTTCAACCGTTTATGATATGCCACGTTCAAATTAGTTTTCATAAGTCCTGCAAGGGCTTCCGTAGAATTTAAATCAAACCGCGAACGGCGATCATGTGTGAGTGTTTATTTTAAATGCTTAAAACCTAGCTTTCAAAATAGCTTCAAAGGTGAGTATTATTCTCGCAAATATTTGATGTGTATTTTTTTTCAACTTATTCCAACCTAGCCTGAAATTATAGTCATAAACAAAACTAAGATCATTCACACTAATCCGAAATTCCTCTCCTTTAACCCTATTTTGTAATTAAAATATGACATGTGCAGGCTAGAATCAGAGAAATCTCGCAATAATGTCACAGTGAATATCATGATTTTTTGTACGACAGCGTAACAATTCAAAAATCACAGTAATTCGAAAAAAGTAGGATGTTTCTTACTTTTCCGTATGTTTTTTGTAGCAAATCGTCAACGGCAGCGATGGTTTTGAGCACATTTAAACGATATACATGCATTTAGTGACTACAGTACGAATTAAGCTCACCTTAACGAAGTTGGGGGTGTATGTGATACCCTCAGCTTCGGCATCCCAGTTCAAGTTTTGGATGCAGTTTTCTCTTTCAAGTACTTCTGCGCTCTTAACATTGATCAGATATGCATGCAAGGTTCTTCTAGTATATGTCTCATTTACCAGTCAAGCTTTCAGATGCTGAATTTTCAGCAAAGGACTGGCCATGTAAATGTATTTAGAGTAAGTTAAGGTTTTTGGTGGAGTTTCAAGTTTCTGGTGCAGATCCCATTTCCAAGTAACGATATTAAAGTCCTATGTTGACCAAACTTGCATGAATGATACACCTGTAAGGATGTACACTTATCAGGCTTGCTTCAGATGCTGGATCTGACCTACATTTCCTAATGAGTGAACAGGTTTAAGGTTTTGGTGTAGGTCTCTTTTCCATTTAACTATAAGCCCTATATTTACAAAACTTGAATGGATGATACGCACTACCAGGCTTGCTTCAGATGCTGGGTTTTAACCTAAATTTTTCAGATGAGAGACCAGGTTCAAGTTTTTACCGAGTGCTAATAGGCCTTTATGAATAATTAATTGACAAAATTAGCAATGTATTTGACAGTAACTTATTACTTTTCAAAGTAATTGACCTCAAACCTGGTTCGGTGTCTTTTTGTCTTCGCTCAATTGCGTCCAACAATAGTGTACATACCTGTAAGGTTAGCATATTAATCTGTCGAAGATACTGGAACCGTGTGATGATTCAGGTCCATTTGATCATATTGATCAAGATTTTCGTTTAGAGAATTGGAAGTCTCATCTCATCCAATGATGAAGACTATAAACAACATGCTAATACAGTACAAAAGATGGAAATGTTTATGACTCTTGGCGCATGGGACTTATAACAGATTACCATTCGTAAGCGAGTATTCCAAAAGTAATTTCAATGCGACTTGTTCTGCTGAGTCTTTATTTATAAACATACGCACTTCATTGATCAAATTCTTTATTGAAAATGGTTTCATAAGTCATAATCCAAAGGGAAGGCAACATCAACAACATTGAAATAGAAGATGTTTCTATGATCATACGACTAAATATGGTTGAAATATTGCCGAATCGGCCTTAAACAATACCAATCAGTCTTAACATCATATGGAGTAGGGGTAGCTTAGAAGTCCATTATTTAAATTTTAATTAAAGTTGTTGAGTAAAAAAACAGAATCCAATTAAAGAAGTTTCTATTTACATCACCCATTTTTTAAAATCATCCTCAGCAGCCCGCGTACAAATGTCGGAGGGAACCTTTGTAGTTGCAATAAGGACTTGAGTAAATTTCCCTTTCGATGGTGTTTTATAGCAATATGCTTTCCTTCCAAAGCCCTAACAACAAGGTCCAGATTCCATCTAACCCAGAACTACTCAGCTATCTTGGCTCTAATGGTCATTTGCAGTTGTTGGATATATATATATATATATATATATATATATATATATATATATATATATATATATATATATATATATATATATATATATATATATATATATAGATAGATAGATAGATAGAGAGAGAGAGAGAGAGAGAGAGAGAGAGAGAGAGCATATTCTGATAACGCGGTTTGGCATACTTTATTAACCAGCAAGAACATCCCATTAAATGGAACTCATACTCAGACTTGTATATGATTCTCCTTTTGCTAAATACTGGTGTAAATGCCAGCTTCAATCCAGGTTCCTGAACCTGCTTTTCTGAGCCATGTATATCTTGTTTTTTTTTTTAATATGGATTTTAATTTGGCTCTCTAAACATACCAGACTTCACTTTCAGGGTTTTGTAAAATGATAATTTGTCCTCTGTTTAAGCTCTCTCAGCACACAAGCAAAATATCCATATTTATTACGTCCGATAATCCATTATTTTATACATCCAATATCACCTACTGTTGTGGAAAGAATAGAAATGCGTCTTGATCGTATAGTGGTTTATTTAGACTCTGTTATTAACTATAGAAACATAACGTACAGTATTGTGACGTAACAATAACGTTAACGTACATTACATAAACCCGCGGATAATCCGTGACACTCCGGGCACCGAAATGAATATTATACTAGAATATTAAAAAGTTCAAATCAAATTAACAGTTCATGGAAATTTAAAATAAAAACAAGTTCATAATCACCTAATTAAGAGGTCCATTCACGGATTCTTTCTTTGGCTTTTGTTTTTGACACTCGATCAGAAGATAGTATTTTAAGTTCGTTCTCATTCACTTCGATTGGATATAGTTTCACAATTGGTCTGTTGGTAAGTCCATTTTTGGTCCGTAAAGTGGCAGCTCTAACGAATCCGTCTCTCACCTGTATGAGTTCCTCAGAGTGTTTGTGACGTAGTTCTGTGTTAGATTTCTCCAGCTCCATGTTTCAAGTCCGTATATTGGCATTTTGTTTATTATCTCTGCTATGTCCCTGAGATTCTTTTTCTGTAATTTTTCTTTTTCCTTCTCCTCAGCCTCTGTACGTTTTTCTGTCATCTGAGTTTCTTCCCTTCGTGTGTCATCACGGATCCTTACGGCGAACGTGTTATCTTTCTCCCTACTTTCCACGGGGCCCTGTGAGGTTTGAAGCTGATTTTCAAGTGTCTGTACTCTGATCTTTAGCTCCCTTTTTTGCCTTTGAGCGTAATCATATCGTGACTGAAGACTGATGTTTTTAGCATTAAGATGCTCCAAGTGAGTGCTGTAGGTTTTGATATTAACAACCTGGTCCTTTAATTCCTGAACCTCGTTATGCAAGTGTCCGTTTTCGTGCGCAAGTTTATTCATCTGTTCCATCATATCCTTCATCCCATTCTCCACATGAGTCTGAAAATTTCTTTGTTGGTTGAATTGTAACAATCTCTCTAGCAGGGTACCATTTTCTTGTTCCAATGCGTTCATCCTTTCTGTCTTAGTCTTCAGCTCTGACTTAAGTTGCTGTATCTCGTTAGTGAGCTTGCTACGTTCTTGAATGGAGTCCACAGTCCGACTCATCGGAGTGGAAGCTGATTTCCATAAAACACTTTTATGTCGTTGTTCAACGTTCATTTCTGTGGGTTTTGGTTTGCTCGTTCCTACAATGTTGACAATTGTTGATTTGGTGGGCTCGTCTCTGTCCCTCGTTAGTTTCATGTCGCATATACTTGTGTGGTGCTTCTTCTGGCACGTTTTACATCTGTTGCGGGATTTACAATCTGCGGTGCGGTGGTTTCCTAAGCAGCTGAAACATAATTTCTTCCGTTTTAAGATGTCGAATCTTGTTCTTACTTCTGTAACTTTCTTACAGTCCCCTGGAAAGTGATTCTCTGAGCAACAATAAA